TTGTGAAACATGGAGTCAGATCCTCGTCTCTTCCCTCATCCTAAGACCCCTGTGAACACGGTCACATATACTTGAGGTGTTGGGGCATAGCTTGGACTGGATGATCTCAGAGGTCTCTTCCAACCTCATTATTCTGTAATTCTATGATTTTGTGACTCTGTGTCTCTGTGGCACAGCCCTGCTGCTGCTGTGTGGCAGCTCCGTGGCAAGTGCTGTGGGATCAGCTGTGGGAATGCAAATCTGCGCTTCCCCCGCCGCAGCAGCGCTAACAGGATAATGAATATTTTCATCAGCTGCAGAGAATACAAACATCTGTGCAGGCTGGGGGAGAGGGGAGCAGGGCTGGGGGGAGGAACAGCTCCCTGGCATCCCTCACTGCAGGGGCAGCAGCTCCACTGCCAGGGAAGGGAAAGTTCTGGTCCCTGAGCCAGGAGAAGGCCATGGATGGCATTCCCTCAGCCCAGTGGGTGTTGGCACTGGCTCTGACAGCAGTGCCTTGGCTCTGGGCTGTGCTGCTGTCTGTAAGAGCCTTCCACGCCTGGAAGGGACACCTTCCACTGTCCCAGGCTGCTCCCAGCCCTGCCCAGCCTGGCCTTGGGCACTGCCAGGGATCCAGGGGCAGCCACAGCTGCTCTGGGCACCCTGTGCCAGGGCCTGCCCACCCTCTGATTGAGTAACTTCTTCATCCTCTAAATCTCACAGTCATGGATGTACAGTAGATTTTGGGCTCTGGCTGCAGGGCAGCTTCCACCGTGGCCATCCCTCTTCCTCTTCCTCCCTCTCCCTTGGGCTGAGGCACACGCAGGGAGCAGTGGGGCTCTCACAGGCAATGACCCAACCTCACTATCTGTGAGGTTATCCTGCTGCCTGCACAGACAGGAATGGAATGGAGCAGCACAGAGGTACATCCAGAGCTGGGATGGGGCAGCAAGAGGTGGCTGCAATGGCCATGTCCATGTTCACCAAGGATGTGACAGCTCAGTTCCCAAATCCTACCTGCAACTGGTGCAGAACCACTTTGAGAACCTCCAGTACTCGAACAGCCTCTCTTACAAAGCATCTCTTCCACCCTGGACCCCCTCATTGTCTGACACCACACCTGCTTTTGGTTTTTTTTTACAACTAAAAATGCTCCCAACCTGCTGCAGAAGCACAGGGCTGCAGACTGGGCAACACCAGCTCAAAGCCACACAATCTGTCATCCTTTTTGGTGGCATGAGAGCTGTGAAATGGAAAAGGATGCAACAGTGACCTGACTGATGGAATGCTGTGCTAATTGCATTAGTCATTTATACACTGGATTGGAAAAAAACCTCACTGCTAAGCTTGGCCAGTGAAGATGTGCTCAAAATACAGCATCTGTATGTGTGTCTGTGGGCTCTGAAACATCCCATAGCAGCTCCCACCTTCACAGAGCTGCTGAACTCCTCATAACCCCTTAGCTGCTACTCAGGACCACAGCATGAGGTGTTAGCCTGCCTTGGAAAGACATCATTGCTTCCAACTAGCGTGTCTGAGGCTTCAAAGTTGTGAGCAGGTAATAGAACTGCAGCAACAAACAATAAAAAGATGAATGAAATGGAAGGCAGCCACTGGAAAAGAGATCCATCCATTATCCTGGCCTGAAGGGTAATAGGTAAACAAGGCACTGGTGCACGGGCTGGTGCTGGGCTCAGGAATAATAAACAGCACAATTATAACTCCTGTGCTTGGAGGTTTCAAAGAGAGGGAG